TATATGGTATTTACAGTTAAGAACCCAAAAGAATTAGAGATCAACAGTTTAGAGGCAAGTGCTAATTGTGTGGTTAGACTATAAATTCAACAGGAATCATGAATCAATGAAAGTCAGAACTCAGAATAGAATACTGGAAGTATTAACATTTTAAATTCATTCACTCAAAAAAAAATATATTTCCTAGTACTGGTGCAATCGCTTAATGGGTAAATTCTCCCCTTGCAAGCCCCATATGGGCACTGGTTTGTGTCGGGTCTGCTCCATCTCCCATTCAGCTTCTTGATTATGGCCTGGGAAAGCAAAAGAAGATGGCCCAAAGCCTTGGGACGCTGCACTCATGTGGGAGACCCTGAAGAAGCTCCTGGCTCCTGGTTTCAGATCAGCTCAGCTCTGACCATTGTGGCCACTAGGGGAGTGAACCAGTGGACTGAAGAGCTTTGTCTCCCATAATATCTGTTTTTCCAACAAAAAATTTTTCAAAATTAAATCTTTTACAAAAAATGTTTACTTACTCCCTATTCAATGTGATGCCCCATGCGAAATGCTGAGAATACACAAATGAGATGGCCCTAGTCCCGCTGTCTCTGATCTAGCTCCATGCTGATGAGCCCGGGAAGGCAGTGGAACATGGCCTGATGATGAGAACACTTGTGCCTTGGGCCCGGCACAGTAGCCTAGTGGCTGAAGTCCTTACCTTGCATGCACCAGGATCACATAAGGGTGCTGGTTCGAATCCCAGCTGCTTTACTTCCCTTCCAGCTTCCTGCTTGTGGCCTGGAAAGGCAGTGGAGGATGGCCCAAAACCTTGGGACCCAGCAACTATGTGGGAGACCTGAAAGAAGCTTCTGTCTCCTGGCTTCTGATTGGTTCAGCTCCGGCTGTTGAGGCCGCTTGGGGAGTGAACTAGTAGATGGAAGATCTTTCTCTCTGTCTCTCCTTTCTGTAAATTTGACTTTCCATAAAAGTAAATAAATCTTAAAAAAAAGAACGTGGCCCAATGCGGTGGCCTAGTGGCTAAAGTCCTCCATTTGCACAAGCCAAGATTCCATATGAGCCCAGGATCTAATCCTGGAGGCCCTGCTTCCCATGCTGCTCCGTGCTTGTGGCCTGGGAAAGCAGTTGAGGACAGCCCAAAGCCTTGGGTCCTTGCATCCTCATGGGAGACCTGGAAGAAGCTCCTGGCTCCTGGCTGTTTAGCTGGCAAACAGTCTTGATTACATTAAATTGAGGAGACGTGTAGACTTATGTTCTATTAATAAGCAGTCACAAACACATAGCAATAAATGCTATGAGAAAATACAAGCAGGGCAAAACTGGTGCTATGGCATGGAGGGTAAAGTCACTAACCACAGTGCCAGCATCCCATATGGTATGTTCCACTTCTAATGCCAGGATCCCATATGAGTACAGGTTTTAATCCCAGCAACTCCACTTCCCATCCAGCTCCCTGCTTGTGGTCTGGGAAAGCTATTGAGGGACCCTGCACCCGCGTGGGAGACCCGGAAGAGACTCCTGGCTCCTGTCTTCAGATTGGCGCAGTTCCAGCTGCTGCAGCCTCTTGGGGAGTCAATCAACGGACTTCAACCTAGTGGCTAAAGTTCTCACCTTGCATGCACCAGGATCTCATATAGGCACTGGTTCGTGTCCCAGCTGCTCCACTTCCCATCCAAGCTCCCTGCTTGTGGCCTGGGAAAGCAATTCAACATGGCCCAAAGCCTTGGAACCCTGCACCCGTGTGGGAGACCCGGAAGAAGCTCTTGGCTTCAGACTGGCTCTGCTCCAGCTGTTGTGGCCACTTGGGGAGTGAATCATTGGATGGAAGATCTTCCTCTTTGTTTCTCTCCCTTACAAATAAAATAAATAATTCTTTAAGAAACCAGAGAAGGAAAAGGACCAGTAGGCATCAAATTTAAAAAGGCAAAGAATTGGAATGGTTAATTGCCTGGTTTAATTGTCTTGCTGTCTACATGTGTTAAAATATTGTCACATAAATGTGCACAATTATTTTTAGTCAAAGAATTTTTAAAACTAATTTTTAAACATTTTTTTAAAACAAAAATACTGTTGAACTATCAAAACCACTTGAGTGAGACCCTTGGAGCATGCCCCACATCAGGGACCTGAGGTGGGTGGGAAACTGTGTGGGTTTCTCCCTTTATCTCCCCCTTTACCCTAGATACAGGAAATAATAGTCTTACCCATTTTCCTGTAGCCCTTGAACCTTTTTACCCTAATTAACTATGTAAAGATTGTCAAAAATATAATTTAAAAAATGGAAAAATTTAAAAAATAACAAAAATAGTGTTATAATATCTGGATAATAATGTGAAAATGATTTAATTTTTTAACATGAAAGAGTGTATGATTATTTAAAACATCAATATAAGGGGAAAGGACAGTGATATTCCATTTACTGGCTCACTTCCAAATTCGAAGAACAGCCAGGTTTGGCCAGGCTCCAGCCAGGAGCCAGGAATTTTATCCTGCTTTTGTGTGGGTGGCAGTGCCAAGCACTTGGATCATATTCTACTAACTTCTCTACTTTCATAATAAGTTGGATGGGAAGAACAGCAGCTGGAATTCCAACTGGCTTCCCACTGTGGGATGCATTGAAATCAGGCTTAACTTGCTGTGCTACAACCCTGGCCTCTGACTTCACTTTTTTATTTGTTGTGCTACCTCAGTTACTTATTATTTAGGTTTGTACTGTCCCTGAAGGTGACAAATGTTTTTCTCATCAGTACTCTAAAGCTAACTATATTGATATTGTATAAATTAAAAAAAAAATTTTGGGGAGGAATAATAATAGTAAGAGAAGCTTAGCAGTGGAACAAACTTTAGAAAAAGCATTGCTTACTTATTACCAAATATATGTTATCTAACCACATAATCAATGAGGTTATGTACTTTTTAAAATCTCTGAACACACAGATATTGCTTAAACAGAACAAAGTTCAAAGAAAGCTTGATTCAACCAAATCAAACCTCTGTGCCAATGTCAACAAATCAAGATTATTCAAAAGGAGCTGCATAAAAAGAAAATTAAACAAAGCTAACTTGGAGTTCAGGCCTAATCATTTGCTTCTTTGAAGGGTGACTCTGATTTTCTGACCTCAGCAAAGTTCAGTTTCTCTCTGAAGAGTATTCGCTCTCTAAAACATTGATACAAAACATCATGTTTGTGTATCTGTTGATGTCAACAAATCAAGATTATATGATTTGGGACCTTGTTAAGTATTTTAATATTTTGATCTTGTGCAAAGGAGTTTGTTGATTTATACTCATGGAGAATGCTTTTTAAATATATTTATTTATTTATTTATTTATTTATTTTTGCTTGAAAGGCAGATTTTACTGAGAGAAAAGGAAAGAGAAAGAGAGAGAGAGAGAAAGAGAAATCTTCCATTTATTGGTTCACTCCCCAAATGGTCACAATGGCCAGAGCTGAACGGATCGGAAGCCAGGAGCTTTTCTCTGAGTCTCCCACATGGGTGCAGGGACCAAAGGCCTTAAGTCATCTGCTGCTGCTTTCCCAGACCCTAAGCAGGGAGCTGGATCTGAAGTGCAGCAGCTGGGGCACAAAATGGCATCCGTAGAGGATGCTAGTATCACAGGCAGAGGATTAGTGTTATGCCACCATGCCAGCCTCTGAAAATACATTGGAAAAAATTATTATTATTATTTTGAAGTCAGATTTGCAGAGAAAGAGAGATATCAAAAGAGAGATCTCTTCCATCTGCTTGTGCACTTCCCAAATGACCACAACGGCCAGAGCTGAGCTGATCTGAAGCCAGGAGCCAGGAGCTTCCTCTGGGTCTCCCACGTGTTTGCAGAGGCTGAAAGACTTGGGTGTATTAGCAGGGAGGGAGCTGGTTGGCAAGTGGTACAGCTGGGATTTGAACTGGCATCTGGAGGCTTAACCTATTACAGCGCAAAGCCAGCCCAAAAATACATTTTCAGTAAGATTCTTAGGTGAATGTTAACAAATTCGTGGCTATAATACAATGAATATTTAGTATGAATTTGAACTCAGTGAGTTTTCAAGACTGACAACAGTGGTTAAGATCTTGGCTCACTTTCTCTCTCTTTTTTTGGTATGTATCATAGCATTTCACAGCAAACATTTAAAGTTAAATGAATTATGCAAGATGTACTTCACCCTGGCCTTGCAAAACTGGTGGTATGATGTTTTAATCAGCAGGACAGATCTGTAAAGAAGGAGTTCATTATCCACTCCGAGCAGGAAGAAGCTAAGTGGAATGAAGGTGGCAAGGCTGATTTCTGAGATCATTAATTAACTATGTGGTCTAGTCACCCCAGTTTCTGCTAACCTTTGCCCTCAACACTTAGCAACGTCTGCTTCCCTCCCTGCACCCATGAATAAACCCATGTGCCCAGTAAGCAGGTTTGCATTCTTCACCGTACTGTCAACTCTTAGAAGAGGAACTAAAACTGCCATTTAAATGTGCGGTTCAAGTGTGCTGTTGACGACCTTTTTGTGTGACCATGTCATGAGTCAGCGATTTAAAAAATGCGAGGGACCCTAAATCTGAAGTCCTTCTCTCTCTCACCAGGACCACATTTGTAAGCAAGCACACATCTTGAGCCACCTGTCTTCAAAATCCCCTTTAGCGTTTACACCTGCAATGCGATGACGGAATGGGAAAATGAAATCAAGGCCACCCACATGAACGGGTTCGGCCCAATCTTCACGGAGGGCAGGGTCCGTCTGTGGTCTCAGGTCATCTCTCCAAACCTGGGGAGAGGACCCAGAGGGGCCCACCCAGTCAGACCCAAAAGCAGCTACTGCAGCCCGGACTTGTCCTCGGACCCGGGCGAGGCGACGTTACCGACGGCGGGGATTTCCACCGCAAGGACACACGCCATTTCCGGCTGGCAGGGTGAGGGAATGACGTGGCAGGTGAGCCCGGGCACGTCTTCGGGAGCCGGGACGCCGGGAGCTGTCAGGTGGCCTCCGGGCAGCCCCAGGGGGAAAGGGCAGCGCCACTCCGCTCCCGCGGCGGCCAGCCCGGAGCCGGAAGTGCCACGTGTCCGGACTGCGCCTGCGCGGCCGGCGGCTGACAGACACTTCCGGCCAGGGCCTCCCTCGGCTCCCGGTTTGGCTGCCGCCCGCCCGATTCCCAAGCCTCGACTCAAGGTCCGAGCCGTGGCCGCCGGCGGGCGGGGACAGTGAGGCGCCATGTCCCGGCCTTGATGCGCCGACCCTGAGTCCTAAGTCGTGAGCCTCCTCTTTTCACTTTGAGAAACCGCCTTTCGGCTCTGGTAGAGCCCGACCATCCCCTTCCCACCTTCGAGAACCACCCGCTGTCATGTCCCAGTCCGGGATACCTGCCTCCGGCGCTCCGCCAACCGGCCTCCAGGCACAGAACGGGGCCGCCTCGGCCTCCGGGTCTCCCTACAGCAACGGTGAGTGCTGCACCAGGGCGGAGGAAGGGCGCAGCCGGGGCTGCCACCGGCCTTTTAGGGGGTTGTGTGTGTGTGTGTGTGTGTGTGTGTGTGCGTGCGTGTGAGTGTGTGTCTGAGGCGGTGCTGCCGCCGCTCGAAGCCACCGAGGAGAGGGTGACCTCCGGGCCGGGGTCCGGGAAGTGGTGGTGGGGCGGGACGGCTGGGCCCAGAGGCAGGGGCTTCTGTTTACACCCGCGACCCTGGGCTCGTCAGACCAGCTAGTTAACAGCTGGAGAGAGCACCTGCTCGTATGCATCGCCCTGGGTAAGCCTGGACGAAAACAAACAAACCCCAGGCGGGAGACCGCGAAGATCGCGTGACAGGGTCCTATTTTCTGTGTGCCTTGGCTCTCCGTGCCGCTTCACTCTGGTGTCCTGGACAGCAGGTGTGGCGTGGGATTGTCCTGGGCTCTGCAGGCATGCGTTGGGGTGGGAGGGTCTTCCTCAGTTTGGCTTCTGAGATGAATGGTGGAGACACCATTCGGGCCTGCTCCTCTCTCCCAGACCCTAGGCCCACCCTTGCGGGTTTTCAGCAGAAGCGAGGAGAAGCGCTGTTGGGTCAGCGGCTGGGCGGGACCCTGAAGCTCTCAGTGTACATGTGGCACTCTCATTTAAGTCACTTGGTTGTGACAGTGTTGGGATTGTGTGCCTCTTAGAGGATTCCTGAAGTTATTCTATGGGGCGATTTGTTCAGCCTGTTACAAACAGTAAGACATTTGATGCCAACGTCTCTGGTTTTATTGGAAATAGAACCCATTGAGTAATACAAAAGTTTTTAAATTGTTGCGAAGTTGGAGAAAATAGCTGATGACTGAAACTGAGAACTTAAGATTTTTTTTTTTCTTGAGAATGGCTGTTTCTTTATAAAGAAGTCTCTCAAAGACTTTTAAAAATGTGTGTCAGTAGGCAGCTGTGTGGGCAGAATGAAGACTTAAGTAGGCATAGTCACTGAAAGAATGTTGGGTTGAAGCAATTGTTTCTCAAGTTCATGGTCACAGTTTATGTTAACTACATTCTTTTCTAGGATATTTAGTAACAGTTATGCTGATAATATAATCATTTGAAGATATTTACTTTGTAAACATTATGTATTTGGGGGGCCAATACAATGGCTCAATTGATTAATCTGCATGCAAACACTGGCATCCCACACGGGTCTGGTTGGTGTATCAGCTGCTCCACTTCCCTTCCAACTCCCTGCTGAGGGCCCAAGGCCTTGGGACCCTGCACCTGCGTGAGAGACCAGGGAGAAGCTCCTGGCTCCTGGCCTTAGGTTGCCTGAGCTCTGACTGTTGAAGCTATTTGGGGAGTGAACCAGTGAATGGAACATCTTTGTCTCTCTTTCTCAATGTAAATCTGACTTATTTTTCCAATAAATTAAATCTTTAAAAAAACCCCTAAAAACAATATGTATTTGGGAAGCAGAGAGATACAGAGCTCTCCCATCTGGCCTGTTAGTGTTGGTAGTTGATCTGGGCAGAAGCCAGGAGCCAGAATCAATCTAGGTTTTCTAAGGGAGTATCAGGAACCCAGTCACTTCAGTTATCTGCTACTGCCCGCTGCTGATGGCTCTTGGGGAATGCTGACATCAGGATCCTGAGCCAGGTATTGAACTCAGGTAGTGTGCCATGGAATGTAAATTTCTCAACAAGAGCCCAAATTACTATGATAAACACCCCAAATCATTTTACTTTTTTTTTAAGTTTTTTTTAAATTGGAAAGTTAGATTTACAGAGAGAAGGAGAGATAGAAAGATCTTCCATCCACTGATTCACTCCCCAAGTAGCCGCAACAGCCAGAGCTGAGCTGATATGAAGCCAGAAGCCAGAAGCAGGAACTGGTTCTGGGCCTCCCATGTAGTGCAGGGTCCTAAGGTGGAAAGAAAACTCAGCAAAATGTCACATGAATGGATTTTTCTTATAATTTGGAAGTTGAGGGCCCGGCGCAATGGCCTAGTGGCTAAAGTCCTTGCCTTGAAAGTGCCGGGATCCCATATGAACACCAGTTCTAATCCCGGCAGCTCCACTTCCCATCCAACTCCGTGCTTGTGGCCTGGGAAAGCAGGCAAGGACAGCCCAAAGCCTTGGGACCCTGTACCTGCATGGGAGACCTGGAGAAAGTTCCTGGCTCCTGGCTTCGGATTGGCATAGCACTTCCTGTTGCGGTCACTTGGGGAATGAATCATTGGATGGAAGCTCTTCCTCTCTATCTCTCTTCCTCTCTGTATATCTGATCTTGCAATAAAAATAAATAAATCTTAAAAAAGTTAGAATTCTACAACAATTTTTAAAGGCAACCTGTATATATATGTTTATAAATTTATTGCAAATGCCATTGACATAATTTTGAAATGTTGAAATATTTTACAAACTATTAGATGCTTTGTTCAGGTTTCACTATGGTTATTTGACCTAGTACAACAAACATTTGCTATGTGTGTTCTAACTTCTATGCTTTGGGCTATGAAAGGGAAAAAGAGAATACTTCTATAAATAGGGTACCCAGTTGGCAGTTCAGATATGTAACTGGTAACTGCAGGAGAGTGAGAGCAGCTAAAGGAATCTAATGTCTCTGTGAGTGCCAGCTACTGCACTTCCGATCCTTCTCCCTGCTGACCGCCTGGGAAGAAAGAAGGCAACCAGAGTGCTTGGGCCCCTGCCACCTGCTCGGGAGACCCAGTTATTGCGGCTGTCTGGGTTGTGGACCAGTGGATGGAAATGTGCCTTTTGACCACCCTTCCTTCCTCTTTGTGACACCAAAAGGGTTTTTTCTTTTTCTTTTTTATTCTATTTATTTTTTAAGGTTTATTTATTTATTTTATTGCAAAGTCAGATATACAAAGAGGGGGAGATACAGAGAGGAAGATCTTTCATCCGATGATTCACTCCCCAGGTGACCACAATGGCTGGCGCTGAACCAAGCTGAAGCCAGGAGCCAGGAACCTCCTCCAGGTTTCTCATGTGGGTGCAGGGTCCCAAGGCTTTGAGCCATCCTCGCCTGCTTTCCCAGGCCACAAACAGGAAGTTGGAAGGGAAGTGGAGCTGCTGGGATTAGAACCAGCACCCATATGGGATCCTGGCACTTTCAAGGCAAGGACTTCAGGCTCTAGGCTATTGCCCTGGGCCCTGTTTTTTGTTTTAAAGACTTGTTTATTTTTATTTATTGGAAAGGGACATTTTTAGAGAGGAGAGGCGGAGAAAAAGATATTCCAACTACTGGTTCATTCCCCAAGTGGGTGCAATGGCCAGAGCTGAGCCCATCCAAAACCAGGAGCCAGGACCTTCTTCCGGGTCTCCCATGCAGGTGCAGGATCCCAAAGCTTTGGGCCATCTTCTACTGCCTCCCCAGGCCACAAGCAGGGAGGTAGAAGGGAAGTGGAACAGCTGGAGTACAAACTGGTCCCCATATGGTTCATGCAAGGTGAGGACTTTAGCTACTAGGCTGGGACCTGCAAAAAAGTTTTAACAGTCTTTTAATCTTGTTTTCTAAATTTCTTTCTTTTTTAATATAAATAATCTCAATAAATGGCCAGTGTTCTATACTGGGTTGTTTTATTATTTATTTTGTTAATTCACTGAGTGGGTGTGACACTCAACTGCAGAGTGTGACATTCAACTGCAGAAGAAAGTATTGCTCTGGAAAGTTAAAAATGGGGTCATTCATTACTGGTGCTTAGTTTTGCAGTCACTTCTTAAATATTTGGTTAAGTGGCTGTGACTTGGCCAGAAAGCTAGTAGCCAGGAGCTTCATCCCTGTCACTCACAGGGGTGCAGGGGCCTAAGCACAGGGTCCACCATCCGCTGCTTTCTCAGGTGCATTTGCGGGGAGCTGCATCTGAAGTGGAGCAGCCTTGAATGGAACCTGGCTTCTATGTGGGATGCTGGTGAACAACCTTTTATAACACAATGCTGGCCCGTATTTTTTTTTAAATAAATAGTTATTTACTTGGAACGCAGAATTACAGAGAGATCTTCCAGTAGCTGATTCACTCCCTCATTGGCAACAACAGCTGGGGCTGGGTCGGTTAGGACAAAGCCAGGAGCCAGGAACTCCATCTGTGGCTTAATGTACAGCACCACAATGACATCCACTAAACTTTAGACTTAATGTAGCTTACATCAATTACATGTACAAAACAGTTGGATCTTCAGAAATTTTTGATACAATCAAAAGATGTAGTAGTGACTTTTTAACTTGCTGTCACACTGTAATGTGACATACAGAGTTTTGAAATACTGGCATTTCTCTGATTTGTGCATTGCTACCTAAAGTTGTCCAGGGCAGGTTTTTCTTGGTCATTGTACAGACTTATGCATACATATTTCCTCTGTAAAAACTGATAATGAGGCTGCAGGACTAGTTGAACTAACAGATCTTAATCTGATTTTCCTATAATAAGATTAAAGGCAGATAGTGCCTACCATGAATTGGTAGCTGCTTTACTATTTGAGTCAACTTGGTAAGGCCATTAGAAACTCGAGTTTTATTAATTTCATTTTAAGAAATATTTATTTAATAATTGTTTGCATAGGGTCCGGCGCGGTGGCGCAAGTGGTTAAGGTCCTCGCCTAGCACGCCCGGGATCCCATATGGGCGCCGGTTCTAATCCCGGCAGTCCCGCTTCCCTTCCAGCTCCCTGCCTGTGGCCCGGGAAAGCAGCAGAGGACGGCCCAAGGCTTTGGGACCCTGCGCCCGCGTGGGAGACCTGGAGGAGGCTCCTGGCTTCAGATCGGCATAGTATCGGCCATTGCGCTCACTTGGGGAGTGAATCATTGGACGGAAGATCTTCCTCTCTGTCTCTCCTCTCTGTATATCCGCCTTTCCAATGAAAAAATAATAATAAAAAAAATAATTGTTTGCATATAGAATTCAAGATGGAAAGGGTGTTTGGTTCCCTCATCCCAATACATTGCATTTCATAGAATAATATCTGCTCTTCCACATTTTCTCCCTAGCCCCTAC